TGTCTGAGTATGCGGCCTGACCACTCTTCCTGCAGAAGATGCTCGATCTGATTGGATGTCTTGAAGTCAAAAAAATACTACAGTTTGATTCATTTGAAAACAAAAAGTCATGTCAAGACATTGTTTAACGAAGTAATCTGAATCTTTAAAAAATGACTAAATAAATTAAAGAACATTTTATATGCACTATGTTCCTCATTTACTTAATCTTACTGGGGAGATTGGGAAGATTTGATCCAGTGTTAAAACTCAAGTGTATTGTTTTGATCTGTTTTCCTCCTCCAGCTTTCTCCATTTTTATTTTCTGTCTACTGACAAAAACTGCCCGCCTCAGTTGCAGTGCAGCATGTGATCAAGTTTTCATCAGTAAGTGGAGGCTGATTAAAAGCCTTGAAAACACTGATGTTGCAATATGTCATCATGTACAGTACAGTCTCCTGCATCATCACTCATTATCCACTTCAGAGCCTCCTAGTGGCCACAGGGGCCATAACCAGCTTCCTAACCTGCTCCGTGGGTTTAACCAACCATAAAACTTACAGTGATAGAAGATACCTCCAACCATGTGGCACCAAGTTGTATTTCAGTGATCATTGGTAATATAAAAGATTATTACTCTTTCTCATTGAAATACAGAGTTGGTAGAACAGACAAGGTAATACATAGACGGTTAGAAAGACAGCTATAGAGACTGTGCTGGAGCATTTGCACCGTTTTACTGTGATGGATTAGCTAAGTTGATCTGGCTTTTGTAAGCGCTCTCAGTAGACACACACACAGTTTCGCCTCTGTGTGAGCTTCTGTGTTTGCCACTCAATCATAATTGGAAAGCAAGAGCCCTGGTGGCCAGTTTGTCAAGGTGAGACTTGATTAGATCTGACACGAGAGGGTGTTTTTTTCTTATTTTGATAGATTTGTGAAGGCTGTTTGTCTGCTACACAGTCTCAGTGGAGCTCCTGCTGGTGTCCTTCACTGCAACGTTTGCATCTCACTTTATGCTCATTTCAAAGAGGAAAGGCTTAAGTGCACGCATATAAAACCCTGTGCTTTAGATTACTCTGGGAGTCATTGGCACTTTGGTAGCAGATGAGAGCTGAGGAGGAGGCTCAGTAGACTTTCTGCTGAGGTTGTGGGTAAACTCTGATCAGAAACTGACAGATGAGGAGACCCCAGATGAACCACTTGCATAGTGAATATCAGATGTTGGTATATGTTGGTTAAACAACAGTCCAGAATCAGATATTCAGTTTACTGTCATAATAAATTAGTTTTAGTGTGTACTCTTTGCTGGTCTCAACCTATTTAGAGTCTTTACTAAGAGCAGATGTAAAAATACCCGAATTGTGAGCCTGTCCTTGTACCCATATATTTGCATAAATTGTAGGTTGTTTCCTGCCCCTGTTCTCATTCCTTACAAACCACACTGCAGTTCACTTGGAAGAAGATCAAGATCAAGATATTTCCACCTTAAAATTCTAGAGATGGATTAATATTCTTACTGTGACTGCTTCATTTAGTGTACATTTGCTGGAAAGACTCAAACAGAATTGTTTATTTGTCTGTCAGAGAACCTGAAACAGAAACACAAATATCTACTGTACTGTTTGTCAGTTTAAACTAAGTCATTTGGTGGACATACAGTACAGATACACAGATCAGCCATAACGTTAGGACCACCTGGGCACTGGTGGTCATAATGTTCTGCAGCTCCATACCAACAAAATGTGATACACTGTGTGTCCTGACACCTTTCTATCAGAACCAGCATTAACTTCTTTGAGCTACAGTAGCTCGTCTGTAGGGTCGGACTACACGGGCCAGCCTTCACTCCCCACGTTCATCAATGAGCCTTGGCCACCCATGACCCTCTCTCCACTTCATCGCTTTTCCTTCCTTGGACCAGTTTTGTTAGGTACTGACCACTGCAGACCGGGAACACCCCACAAGAGCTGCAGTTTAGGAGATGCTCTGAGCC